AAGAAGAGGAACTAAATGGACATTTTTCATCAACAAAACATGAAACGTAATAAAGTTCTGACTTCATTTCTTTAACATTCTATAAATATATTTTTCAAAAGTAAAATATACTCATACAATAACAATAAACATGACAAAAGATATATATAACAATCAACAATCAAATGTGCATAAAAAAATAATTTCTAAGAAATTGCTCATTCACATTTGTTAAGCTAAGATTTAAAAAAGGGAGTTAACATGATCTACATAAATTAGAGTCCTTATTAGACAAACAATCTATAATTTTAAACCCTGTGAACTTGAACAAAAATGCTATTATACCTTCATCTTAAAGCAATTCTTAGATACCAGTAACTGAATTTTCTACTTCTTTCATTAAACAATATTTTATTACAGGTAAATTTTATTTATTGAATTCATGCACTGTACAATACATATGGCCCTAGCTTATATTTTATAAAATACTGGGAAATAATTATCAATAATTTATATCCATTTGCAATAGTTTCTAATCCTAAAAAAACTGCAATGTTACAACATTAGGAAATAAAATAATTTAAAAAATGAAGAGGTACAATATAAAATGTGTCAGGCATCTGAAAATGAAAATTCACCAATCAAAACATTGCACAAGACAGTACACATTTCAGTAAAGAAAGAAAAAATAATAAATCATGAAAGAAAAATTGCACTGATCTGGCAATGTATAGAGACACAGGGTGTACATAAAAGTTAAAAATGATAAAATTTGCATGATAAACAAAAATGCAAAAATGGCCAGAAATAAAATGATAACATCATGGAATGGCTGTCATGCTGTACAGAGCACTTGTTGACTAGATCAATAATATTGTATTACTGCAGATCATACAAACTACTCATCTCTCTCAAACCGAAACTAATCACCTTCATAAAGAAACATATTACAATGAGGGGGTTAGCCAGCATGGTATAATACACAGCAATGCTTTTAATAATTGTTTTTTTTTCCTTCTGGGTGTACATGTATCACTAATACTGTACGTTTTATTTTTCCACAGTTGTAGATTTATTACCATTCCACTGTCATTGTATTATAATCCTGTAGTTCACAAATTGTAGTAAACTGTTACCTGTATCAATGCAACAGACATACTGTTTCAATGACTGTAGCCAACTCAGTAATTTGAGTTGTGTCTACAGCAAAAATATTGACAAACTGAAAATAAGTAGAAGCATTCCGGCAAGGTTTAAAATGTACAGGTTCATAAAATTACAAAGACAACAAGCATTCTGAGAGTATTGCATTAGCAATACTATTCCCCTACCGGCAAGTGTAATCTGGTTCCCGTTAAAAATTGAAAATGCCATAATTCTGTCAAAAATCAATGAAGCGGAATGAAATGCAAAATTGATCTATAACACATCAAGGTAAAGTCACATACCAAAAATCAGCTCAATATCTGCAAGTGTTTAGAAAAAAAGTGTGGAAAACCCTGAAAAATTGAGAAGGTCGTAATTCTGTCAAAAATCACTGAAGCGGAACAAAATGCAAACTTGATCTGTAACTCATCAAGATACACTCACATACCAAAAATCAGCTCAATATCTGCAAGCGTTTAGAAGAAAATTGCGGAAAACCAAGTGGGACAGATTGACAGACAGACAGAAGGACAGACAGACGGACGGACAGACTCAGTGGAAACCTATAGTCCCCTCCGGTTTTACCGGTAGGGGACTAATAAATATAAAATCAGCTTACATTTCTAAAATTACCAGCATTCAACTCTGTCAGTTGAGGTATGCTCATCAATTCTTGAGAACTCTCCAAAATTCTTTATCTCTTTACCAGAAATAATCCTGAGCGCACTCTGGTGCCTGCTTTGTTGAGCAGGCTTCTGGACAACTCTTTTTCCCTTAGTTATAGATGACAGCAGGATGGTGTGCTTCCCATCATCATTGTCATATCTGTCAGAGGTCAAAGTTTTTTCTCAAAAATATAACTTTAATAAGATTGTTCTTAAAATTTTGAATTAGGTTCTGTACAAAGAGAGGGTCAGATCTTAAAGATCCCAGTACTTAATTGTCAAGTAGGAGTTCCATATCAAATACAGGTAGGTGTTTACTACAATCACCGAGTCACTGGATACCTACATTTACAGGGATAATGGAATGGTTCTATCTATACAAAAACAAGAGGCCCATGGGCCACATCGCTCACCTGAGCACATTGGCTAGGCAAAAGCACAAATCAGTTCAGTATTGAAAAGATTACCTGGGGTTTGGGGGGGAGGGGGGCTTGAATTTTAAACTACCTGATGATGCTTCCATGTCAATATAACAAATGGCTTTATTGTACTTGTAAAGATTTTAAAAAAATTTTCCCATATATTCCTTTGTAAAAATTTGATCCTCCATTGTGGCTCCTCCCTCTCTCAGGGGTCATCATTTGAACTTGAATCTACACTACCTGAGGATGCTTCCATATCAATATGACTAAACATAGCTTTCCTGTACTTGAGAAGAAATATTTTCTCTATATGTTCTTATGTAAAACTTTCAATCCCCCAATGGGCCCCATCTATCCCTTGGGGGTCATCATTTGAACAAAATTGAATCTACACTACCTGAGGATGCTTCCATATCAAAATGACTAATCATGGTTTGCAGTTCTTCAGAAGAAGATATTTCCCTATATATTTCTACTTAAGACTTTGATCCTCCATTGTGGCCCCATCCTACCCACGGGGGTCATGATTTGAACAAAATAGAATCTACACTACCTGAGGATGCTTCCATATAAATATGATTAATCAGGGCTTTGCTGTTTCTGAGAAGAAGATTTTTAAAATTTTTCCTATACATTTCTATGTAAAACCTTGATCCTCCATTGTGGCCCCGCCCTACCCCCGGGGGTCATGATTTGAATAAATTTGAATCTACACTACCTGTGGATGTTTCCATATAAATATGAACAATCTGGGCTTTGCTGTTCCTGGGAAGAAGATTTTTCCTATATATTTCTATGTACAACTTTGATAGTCCATTGCAGCCCTGCCCTACCCCCGGTGGTCATGATTTGAACAAACTTGAATCTACACTACCTGAGAACGCTTCCATATAAATATGACTCATCATGGCTTTGCTTTTCTTGAGAAGAAGATTTTTAAAGATTTTTCCTATATATTTCTATGTAAAACTTTGATCCTCCATTGTGGCCCCGCCCTACCCCTGGGGGTCATGATTTGAACAAACTTGAATCTACACTACCTGAGGACGCTTCCATATAAATATGACTCATCATGACTTTGTGGTTCTTGATAAGAAGATTTTTAAAGATTTTTCCTATATATTTCTATGTAAAACTTTGATCCTCCATTGTGGCCACGCCCTACCCTCGGGGGTCATTGTTTGTACAAACTTGAATCTACACTACCTGATGATGCTCCCATATAAATATGACCCATCATGGCTTTGCTGTTCTTGAGAAGAAGATTTTTAAAGATTTTTCCTATATATTTCTATGTAAAACTTTGATCCTCCATTGTGGCCCCGCCCTACCCCCTAGGGTCATGATTTTAACAAACTTGAATCTACACTACCCGAAGATGCTTCCATATAAATATTACTCATCATGACTTTGCTGTTCTTGAGAAGAAGATTTTTAAAGATTTTTCCTATATATTTCTATGTAAAACTTTGATCCTCCATTGTGGCCCCACCCTACCCCCGGGGGTCATGGTTTGAACAAACTTGAATCTACACTACCTGAGGACGCTCCCATATAAATATTACTCATCATGACTTTGCTGTTCTTGAGAAGAAGATTTTTAAAGATTTTTCCTATATATTTCTATGTAAAACTTTGATCCTCCATTGTGGCCCCGCCCTACCCCCGGGGGTCATGATTTGAACAAACTTGAATCTACACTACCTGAGGATGCTTCCATATAAATATGACTCATCATGGCTTTGCTGTTCTTGAGAAGAAGATTTTTAAAGATTTTTCCTATATATTTCTATGTAAAACTTTGATCCTCCATTGTGGCCCCGCCCTACCCCCGGGGGTCATGATTTGAACAAACTTGAATGTACACTACTTGAGGATGCTTCCACATGAGTTTCATCTTTCCTGGCCGTATGGTTCTTGAGAAGAAGATTTTTAAATGTTGCCATTATTTTTTCACTAATTCCTAATTATCTCCCCTTGAAAGAGGGCGTGGCCCTTCATTTGAACAAACTTGAATCCCCTTTACCCAAGGATACTTTGTGGCAAGTTTGGTTGAAATTGGCCCAGTGGTTCTTGAGAAGAAGTCGAAAATGTGAAAAGTTTACAGACAGACAGACAGACGGACAGACAGACAGACGGACAGACAGACGGACGCTGGACAAAATGTGATCAGAAAAGCTCACTTGAGCTTTCAGCTCAGGTGAGCTAATAAAACTAACCGAGATATTAACAGAAAATTTGATTTACCGATAACAAAGGATAAACAGCTTCTCCCTTTACAATGCAGGACACCTATTTCACACAGTCACTCGATTCTCAATATTAGGTATAGACAACCATAGCCCTTTCCACAGAAAATCTTACAACTACGATTAAAATTTGACAACTCCGTTATTTCTTTGTTTAATAATAATTTTTTTCTAAAGGATTACTCACCAGATATACATTCTTATGTGATAGAAACATAGGATTTTTAGTGATCTTCTATGGCCTACTGCTGCCTAAATACTTTTAAAGAATTAGAAAATTTTGTCTTAGTGTTAAGATATTCTGTGAAAAGGTCTACTGGATCTCACAACACTGTTACCCTAGTATCATGTACAACTGATATTTAAACACACACTCAAAACCCTTGCTTCATGTACAATAAATATTCAAAACACACAACCCTGGCCTTGCATCACATATACTGTTTGCACCATTGAATCACAATTCTTCCTTGAACAAACAATAATTTCAAAAAAAAAGTAAAGTAATAAAAATTACTTTTTTTTAACATTTGTGATGATAAGTTAGAAAATCTGACTTAAATTTTATGTTTAACATTTGTTTTGTTTGAAAACATTGTGTATCTTAATACACGCACTGCAGTATTTTAACATATATCAATAAATTAATATCTTCATAAGCACCTACTAAAATCTAATATGATCAATGGACCTGTATCTTGACCACTCTGTTGGGGAGTTCTACAGCACTAACTTTGAGGGGCCACATCCCTCCTATGATTCCTGCTTGTATAGACACACCCATGGCTACAGCTAACTCAGGGTCCACATGAGTGTTCAGATCTTTATTGAAAAACTCTCGAATCAAACCACGAATCTTTGGAATCCTTGTGGATCCTCCCACTAATACTATCTCATCAATATCATCTTTTTCTAGATGAGTAGCCTCCAACACTGTCCTGATTGGCTCCAACACTTTTAAAAACAGATCTTTATTTAATTCTTCAAATTTGTCCCTAGTGATGGTTTCTTGTATATGGGAATATTTTCCCAGAGAGTGAAGGTAAAGCTTTAGTGGAGTGCTTTGTTGGTGGGTCAGATTAATTTTGACCTCTTCAACAGCCAATCGAATGGCTTGTAAGTCTTCCCTGTCTGATATATTCAGGTTAAACTTGTTTTCTATTAGTTCTTTTACATAATTGTACAATCTTAGGTTAAAATCTTGTCCACCGAGTCTATTATTTCCTGAAATAACAATTATAACAAATATTAGGATACTAAATGCCTAACCCTATCATCATTCCTCTATAATAAAAAAACATACATGATCTAGTTTGATTTATCTTAGTCTATATTTAATTGGAATCCTACCTGCCATCCCCTGAGTGAGAAACATCCCCCCTTGTACTATGAGTAGAGACACATCTAGAGTCCCACCTCCTAGATCCACCACCAGGACTGTCTTCAGCTGTGGTTTGGTGTGGAGTCCATAAGCTAAGGCTGCAGCTGTTGGTTCATTGATCACTCGCCACACCTCCAGACCTGTAACAGGTATATCAAAATAGATCAACTCTGACTCAGGAAAAATGCTACACCTCCAGACCTGTAACAGGTACAGTCATTCAACATTGACTTTAGGTCTGCATTGACTTTAACACCACACCTATTACAGGTTAAGTCATTTTTTAATATAGGTCAACACTGACTCTGACAAATGCAGGACAATGTCATCTCTAAGCTTTGAACAAAAGGCATGTATATGTGTGCACACACAGAAGTAATGAGTTTCTGTTCCTTTTCTTTTTTCTGATGAGATATAATCTGTTGCTTATATTAAAAAGAAATATATAAAAAATGTAGAAGTGTGGGAAAAGCATTATGAAATACATACCATAAACTACTATTGTACATAAAAAATTGTTTTATTTTTAAAAAAAGATGTATAAATGTCTCAATTCTGAATATCTTACCAGCAATACTTCCTGCTTTCTTCGTGTAATTTCTCTGCATTTCATCGAATTCTGCTGGGACAGACATGACACACTTTGTGACTGGGGCAGTTAGGTTCTTCTCAGCTACATTTTTCAAGAACTTTATTATGACAGACCCAATCTGCTCAGGGGTGTATCTCACCTCAGTTTTATTGACGTTCATTACATACCGCACCATTCCATACTCATCAGCTTCAAGCTAGATTTAAAACATTTGACAAAATTGTTTACAAGAGTTGTATAGAATTGTTATCTAAATGATAATTCAATGACATCCACAAACATGAAAACTTCTTTGACAATTAAGCTAGAGTACTTGCCTTGAATGGGTATCTCTTCTGTGCCTGTGCCAGCTCATCTGTGGTGTATTTCTTTCCTATAAATCTTTTGGCATCATATATGGTATTCTTAGGATTGTGTTCTGCCTGCGCTACAGCTTTATACCCCACCACAATCCCATCCTCACTGAAAAATATTTACAAGGTTTTGTCAAATTCTTGCAGTTTTCCAAAATTGTTTTACAGAGGAATTTACAAGTGTAAAAAAAGTGAATGTGTTCTTTGTCAAGAGCTGATATCTACAACAAAGGGCTACCTACTGCTGGAGATCATCTTAAATGTTTAGTTCCTGTGAATCATCGTCTATATGCACCTTATACCTTCCACAAAGGTGTAAATATACTGTGGATCATGTGCAATATGTATAATGCAGCAAAGTTTACAAAGTTTATTTAATTTAGCTTTTCAACTGCATAACCTGCTATATACTTCAGAAATCTCTGTGCTGAGGGTGTCAATTTTTTAATACACTACATATGTTGACAAAATTTTACTTGCACATGAAAAATACTGTGTGTGTACTTAAAAAAGCCAGCTTCTCATTTATCAGCTTTGGTTGATGCACTAATTCATGAATACTGCTAAGAAATCATTTATAAATACAATATACAGCACAGACAAGTATAGTGCTAATTCTTGACTTAGCCAATAGCTCCATACCCAGTGTGATTGTGCTAAATTTGAATACACCAATTTTTGTACGTGACCAATACTTATAAAAATTTACCTGAAAGCTACCACACTGGGGATACACTGGTGACCATCTTGGGCTTCTAGAATGTCTACTGCTCCACTCACTGCATGATAAACACCCACACAGGAAAATGTTGTTCCTGAAATCAATCAAACTTTACACTGCTGAATTTTATATATAAACGAAAAACAAGAAACTTTAATTTCTACTAGATATACATTGTACCATCTCTCTTGAGAGAGAAAGAGAGAGGGAGATATGTCGTAAAGTTAATGAGTAATATATTAATAAAATTGTAATAAAATTTGAAAGATAAAAAAAAAATTATTTAGATATTTACTTATTAACATGGTTAAACTTGAGAACAGTGATTTTACTATCATATACACATTATAATATTATACATGACATAACAGCTTGAAATTGCATAACAATGTATCTATTTGACAAAAAGAAGACAGAGTTTTTGTAATTTTGAAAATTAGGGCACTGATCATCCTGAAAAAAATAAAATTGCCCTTCCAAATTTTCTTTGGGGTTTATGAATTAATGTAGTGAACCATATATCAATATTATTGTAACAAAATTGTTACAAAATTTGGGCCCTATCAAATTTCAATGAAAAAGACTTAAAAGTTACTATATACAGTTGCAATGAAATCTATTTACCTAGATCAATGCCAACTATTTTAGGCTTTGGAGGAGGTAGATATCTTTGGGCAAAATATCCTGCCAACAGCACAGCTAGAATAGATGTACCTGCAAAGGTAAATTCAACTTCAGAAATATGCTCAAAATTCGTATTTCTATATATATCTTTTGAAGTATTTTTGGACAAAAGATAGGGGTCCATTCAGAAATTATCTTTTCACAAACATTATCACAATCTAAGCAATTTTGTATCATGATGCCAAATATTCTTTTCCTAATGTAGACTTTGTTGTTCTTAAAATAATAGGGCTGGGTATTATCTTAAATTTTATCTTAAATCTAGCTTAAATTTTGTATTACAATTACTGTGATATTTTTACCTGTCTTGTGAAATGTATTGCAATATCTTCAATAAAATTAAAATGGAGTTTTCTTATTTACTTTTACTTGTATGCAGAATATACATCACTATGATAAATAACCAAGAAAAAAATGTCTTGTTGATTTAATTACAGTGATGCACCAAAACGCACAAATACAACAGCTTATGTCTTACTGTTTGGGAACAAGGAACGCAAACGTTTCTGACCTCTTAAATTTGGGTGACATGAAACACCGAAATGATCAGTTTTTGGTGAAATGATGGTTGAATATCATGAAAAAAACAATACGTGGTATACAGTATACTATTAAACCCATAAATGGTGGTCAATTTCCTCAGATTTATTTACGATAAAATTGGCTATAAAACCCTAAGGGTAAGGATTGAACTAAAAAAAGTCTATACTTGTAAGGTATTAGCATTATTAACCCTATGAATTGAAATCCACAGTCATTGCAGTTTTTTATCAGTCGATCATTTCACGATATTCAACCGTCAATTCACTAAAAACCAATCATTTCGGTGTTTTGATGCACTGCATAAATTTTATAACTGAAATCCTAGGTTCAAGCATTTTGCCACTATATTGGTACTACACAAACATATTGTATCACAATACGATATTTTTTGAGAACGAACTGAAATATACAGATATCGGTATTATTGCCCAGCCTTACAAAATACCAATGACAGTTCGAAGTGTTCAACATGAATTACAACAATGATTAACAGATTAATCTCTCATTCAATTTATTTCATGGTCAGCACAAGCTAAAAACGATAAGTACAGTCAGTACATTTAGCTATGTAGCTAGAATTCCCTACTTAGCTTTATTTAGCTACTTCAGGTAGCTTTATTTAGCTTTATTTAGCTATTTCAATGCAACTTTTCACAATTTTGCTTTTTATTTATACTCGGGATTTTTAAAAAAGTAATCCAAAGCAGAGATAGTATGAACATTGCGGTGTTTGAACATTTTGAAGCAAAACATGTAATTCCATTGTTTGGATAAGTAACTGTTCACTATCTTATGTGCAGTGAGGCATGGGTTAGTATGATTTCTTCACATTGTGATGAATAATTACCAATCAATTATCATGGTAACCAGAACTGTTCTTCTTTGTTATTTCATCTAAGAAGTAACTGTTTGGTCACAAATTAACTGTTGTATATAGTCCCAAAACTTTTCGAACTTTGATTGCAATTGCGCAGAAAATGACACATCTTCAAGAGGGGTTACTGTCGTTTCGCACCAAAACCAGAACGCCACATGCATGAGCGCCCCAAAGATTTTTACCGGCACCCAAGTACAAGTATGAGCACCCCAAATCTAAATCATGAGCGCCCCAAACTTATTTCATGAGCGCCCCAATTAGTATTTCGAGCGCCCCAAATAATATTGTCCGATCTAAAGGAACAGATACACAGGTGCTCATTATGTGATATTTTTTTACGTAGCACTTCAACAGTTATATATATTATTTTTTTTTTTGAACATTTCATTTGAATCTATGTTGAAATTGACATATTTAGTTGCAAACAATTGTACGAAATATTCTGTTTGCATTTCCTTCTTCAAAAGAACACTGGTGTAATATTCTTTTAAATTATCAACTTTTAATTATTTTTGTGTAATTAAAAATGATAGTATCAAAGTCTGAGCACCGCCGTTATCCCAAATAAAAGAAACCCCCAATTAAAATCTCATAATTTTTTTTACCACATTGTGATGAGAAAAATTGTCAACAGACTGTTCAATGTATGATCCATCTGTGTAACCATGCTTGATATAATTCACATGGAAAGGTTGCATAAGTATTAAAAATGCCGCAGAAAGACCAGAATTACGGTGTATATTTGTAAAACTTGGTCTGAAATGATGTGGATGCCTGAAATTATGTTTACTGTGTATAAACAGACTGCTAATCCCACTTGGGTTAAGTTATCGATCTAGTGATAGGTGTGTAATATTATGTGGTATTACATAATCAGGTACACGACAATCAATGAAAACACGAGGCATGTGCACTATACAAACTCCAAGATGGAATCATGGATATACCGAGATTTTGAACCACATCACTAAAATCAGTAAAAATTTAACAAATATACTCAATAAATGACTTTTTTTATATGGATGGATGGGTTGAATACACGTGCATGATTTTTTTTTTTAATAATTGGTACACCGATTTACAGAAGATACATGTAAGCTATAAGGTCTACAAGACCACATCTTTCTAAAATAAATATTTCTAAACTTATAAATAAATGACATTCTTAAAATTTTTCTGTGGGTTATAAATCCTAATTACTGGAGAAATACACATAAGTGTTCAAATGCAAGTCTATTCTATTCTATTCGTACAGCATAGTAGCTCTTTGTGATGAACCTGCTTATAAGCACTTTTAAATTAAAATTAAAAAAAACCCAAAATAACAAATTATGGTTCGGGTATATGTACATGTAGGTATGAACACGGAAAGAATTTTAGTACATTTTATAATAACTTCATATACTGCTAGTTTAAAATATTTGGGGCGTTCGTTTTTTACGTAAAATTTGGTGCCTTAATGATATATATAATTTGGGGCGCTCGTCAATTGTTCATATCAATATTTTTTAACATTGAAATGTAATTAAAAAAATGCAATAAAAGCAATAATTTATTTATTTACTAGTTAATAAGCCTTGGGGCGCTCGAAGTGCTAATTTGGGGCGCTCATGAAATAAGATCGGGGCGCTCGTGATTTAGATTTGGGGCGCTCATATTTCTACTTGGGCGCCGGTGAAAAACTTTGGGGTGCTCATGCATGGGGCGTTCTGGTTTTGGGGCGCAGTGACTAGCACCCTTCAAGAGTAATTTTTTCATGAATTGTTTTCAGATGAGTTTAAAGTTGAAAATGATCACTGTATCAATGTGCGATTTTCTGCATATCCTGATAAAAATGCTAATTTAATAAATAAATCTGATTTAGAAGCTAAATAAAGCTACTTCAGGTAGGTAAATAAAGCTATGTAGGTAATTTTAGCTACGTACAGCAGCTAAATCTAGTGATTGTCTGATTGTTCCAGACCGATTAAAAAAGCAAATTAAAAATTAATGTAACACTACAAACGACTCACCTAGAATAATAAATGTACTACTCATAATATTTCAGTGGAGTTTTATCTTTGTCAATCCAATATCCCCCTCTAATTTGCTTTTAACTATTGACAAGAGAAAAAAGTCAACTCAACATATGTTCGCAAAACAGGAAGTGTACGTGTTCATGCTCAGGGAATGTTAGAAGTCGGGCAGATGACCGCAGAATTCCGGATTTTCCAAATAAACAATTAAAAAAACACGGATAAATAAGCAGAAAATTATGCTTATTGTTCGACAAATAAGAAAAATATATAATAAAATTAAATTTTACCCAAGTGACCTCTTAATTCAGACATAATACATGAGGCCCATGGACCAAAACGCTCACCCGAGTCACTTTGACATTGTTGTTCTTCATCAGCTGATTTTTTTCTTCAATTTCATATTTTTTTTACTCCATATTGTGGACCAAAATCTAGCCCTAAGAGAGCTACGATTTAATCAAAGTTGAATCCACACAACGTACAATATCCATTCAATCAACAACATGGCCTTCTCAGCTATGTTAGGAGGGAAATGGAAAATGCGATCTTAGTACATTCTTAATATGTATTATTTTTAAAATTTTTTGTAACAAAGTAACTGTATAAATGTAGGGAAGGTAATAGAGATAACCATAATGGATAGGTTTGTGGCATACTCAGTACCAGTTACATCGCATGTATCAGCTGTGTATCACGTGGCTGGTATAAAAATAGAATTGTTAAGCTGAATGAAGAAAATGACGCTAGTGCAAGGGCATACGCATGTTTTTGGAGAAAAAAATTATACATATTAAAAAAAAATTACATCGGCTTCCCAAAAAGTGCTGGGAGCTAGTTTGAGCTGTTTCGGAAATATTCGTAATTTTGCCGCAAATGCGTATAATAGCTAAAAGTTCCCACTTCGATTAAATTCTGACATGAATAAAAAATAATGTTATGCAGACCGGAATCAGCTACCAGCACTTTTCAAAATATACATGATATAAGCAATTGATATTCCATATTTCAACTCAAACAGTCTAGTCTATGCCCTTGCACTTTTGAGGTTAATCAGGTATACACTTATCATGTTAGCGATATTCTTTACATTCTCTGTCTTTATGCAGCTCCATATCACCTAGATAGATTAATAATCTATATTATTGTTTTAAATATGTAATAATGGGTTATTTGCTATATATATTTTAAACTGTAAATAAATTGAATATAAAATAATTTAATAAATAAACACATTGCCATAAATAAATATGAATTTAAACTTAAACTCCGTTTGATAATTACATTTACTAACCTTACTGCACATATTGCATGGTATACTTATTTTAGATTTAGAGTTATCTTTCATAGTTAGAACTCTCTAGTTTATTCATTAGTATATGAGAACCAGTTTAGAGGTCAGAAATAGTCGATTGGCTATTCTTGTTTTGGAGAGATTTTATTGGTAGGTCATTGAGGTCAAATTCCTTAGTGAGTTACTTTTTGTCTTTTGAAATTCACTTTGAATCCAGCCACAAGCCATAGTGCTGGGATCTTGTCTGATTAGTTATATATACAGTACAAATATTTTTTGACTGGACTATAAGACCTGATCACAGTAAGTTCTTTAATTTCTTTTACTAACACTTTATATGTCATTTGCTTGGTTGAATGAATGAGTATGGATGAAATAGTATTTGATGAGTAAATGGTTACAAATAAATTATTTCCTTTTAATTTTATTGATAATGTAAGCATTTTTGTAATTATTAAACCAATGGATCCACTCCTCTGGATCACTTGTACTGAGTCAAGTTAAGGCTAGTGACATCATTTATGATGTTGCTTCTAATTACACGGCAGTATTGTTATCAAATGTGATTTTACATGCTTTTATAAATACGCAATTGCTAAATTAAATGAATGTAAGTTGTTATTTACGCATCACCATGTGGTAAAATAGATTGTTGTCGCTTGTTAAATTTTTAATGACGTCACAATGAAACTTCCCATTCGGTGCATCACAAATGTGAACTCAAGCCTTCCTTAAGGTCAAGATCTATTAAATGAAAGGTGCCTTCAGATTTCTGAAATCTGAGAAACAAGATCCTTTACAAATATGGCTTGGCGAAAGTAGGTGTATCGGGGCATAATTTTTAGGTAAACTCAACGAAAAATGATACTTTAAACTGTTATTTTCAATGAAAAATGAAGGAAATCAGGTATAAATATGGGAGTTTTTTCTTCCTCAGAAAAAGAAAATGTATCAATATTGCCTACAGTCTCTCAGAAAAGAGTTTTTCATATCTTCTTGACCTCTTCTTTAAAATGATATTAATTTGAATATAGGTATCGGGGTTAATTTTGACATGATTTCAAACTGAATTCCATGAAAATGTTTTTTTTTCTACGTAATACTATAATAGCCGTAAAGTACGGGAAAAATTAAGTTTAAATCAATTATGACGTCATATAGGATCTAGCACCAAAAAGACAGTTTAAACTCATTTACTAGATCTTGACCTTAACGTGGCTGAGTTGTTGCTGAGTTGTTGTTCTGGATTCATACAATTTAGTTCGCATGTTCTTGCCACTTTGAAAAAAAAAATTCCCTATATGTATACTCTCTTAAACTCTGATCCCCTATTGTAGTATTTTGAAGAACAAACTTGAGTCTTAACAACCTGAGTTTGGTTGCATATCAATATACCCAGATAATGACTTTCATAAGAGGAAAGCTTTTAAGATTTTTCCGATATATATCTATATAAACTTTGATTTTTTTTTATGAATCGATATCTACAAACCTATTTTGTTTTCATATGAAGCAGAATTTATTCAAAAACTTTTAAAATGAAAAGAAGTTACCTGCTGTGGCTTTCAATTCCACATTTAGATACATGTATCGACGACTTTTAATCAATATTAACAATATTCATTTTCATTCCGTCGTTGATTCGATATATCCTTTTGAAAAAAAAAAAAAACACTACAAAGCGGGAAACATCTCTTTCGTATTTGGATATTTTTGGATATTTTACAAGAAAAAGACATTAATGGCAGCCTAACAACAAAAGTGATACACGTGATGACTTCAATTTTTTTATCGTCAACTTCCCTTATTATCTAGCATAATACATATACCATTATCACCTGCATATGGCTTATATGTCTCCCAGTTGATTTGATAAGCAAGAACATAATCTAAGTACGAACAATTTCTAAAATGAGACACGCTATTGACAAATAAGTTGATGATACAAGGATATCAACAGTCTCGTTTGAAGACAACATAACATAAATTCTATAGTCAGTACAATGACCTTGTTAGCAAATACAGTCTATCGTTAACTCGAATGTTGACTGTTGTCTTTTAATACTGTGAATTGTTAGAGTTCGTTAGACACTGAATTGTCTACTGATTTTCCTGTTAACCCGATCATGATAATGAGCACAATTTGGGTGTGACGGGTCGACAGGGAATGCTTCCTCTTCCATGGCATTTGTATTGTTCCCATGGACTTTTGAGCACGATTATTGTTCCTTATTTTCATTTCTCACCCACACCATAATTTTAAACTAAAGGCTCAAAGAATATGCGCATGACAGTGTAACTCGAATAGTACGTGCAGTGTACATATACAGATGATACCGTATGAATAACTATTGCTCGATGACCTAGTCGCAAAAGATCTGGGTGTAGAATCAGATTGTTTTTAAAAAAGTAATTTTGTAGGAGACCAATCACAAGATATGAAAATTTCCGAGATCCATTTTTTTCATTGAAGAGGCTGCAGGGTTTGATGTCGAAGAGCCTATTTTTTTTAAATTATCGTGAAGAATGGTTGTATAAAGTGTATAAATTCTTATGTTCCGATGCTATTGATTAAAAAAAAAAATCTCATGATTTTAAATTTCCTAAAATTTCTTTCGTGTTTTTAAGAATCAACATTTAAGGAGGGATTCTTCTCATAAGAACACTTATTTCTTATATTTAAAAATCAATGAATTTTTCACAGAATCAAGAAGACAATATCACTAAGTGATGGTATCAGTTAGATTAAATTTGACCGTTTTATATTAGAGGCAAGGTCAGGTCAAGGTCAGTACCTTTTCCCTGGACATTAAGAATAAAAAAATTACTGTTGCCAATCATGCGATGCCTACTTCTATTTCAATAAATTAAATGTTTTTCTTTTTGCATAAAGAGATATTACCATATAGGGTCTATAAGATGATATTACCAAATTGACATAAATAATTTAACTAAATTGGATATTGGCTAATCCGAATTTTCTCTATTTTTCTTAAAATTTTAAGATATTTTAGTTATTTTTATATATGGTAAAGTTGTCACATAAAGATACAAAATGATATAAAAACAAAAAGTTTTGACCGTTTACTAAGAGAGAAAAAACACTTTTTATGGATTTTTGGATCAAATCTGAACTTGAATTGGAAGCTTTTAAAAGCTAACATAATTGTAGTTTGTTTGGAAAATCACATTTATTTGATATATTTTAAAACTTTATTCCCTTATTATTAATTTAACTTACATTTAAAAATTTTCTCCAAGTCTTTGATTGTGTAAAAATTATAACTTAATTCGATTCATTGTTTTATAATTATTTTGAGAGGCAGAAAAGAAGATATTTTCATACGCCGCCATTCCGCCAAAAATATAGTCCCTGCTAGATTTCAAACTCAGTTTACCATTTCTATTTAAAGTTGTACAATTGTGATGAGGAAAGAAAAATATGATCTTTTAAATCTCTTATACATCTAAATATATAAAACATATATTAAGCAAATATACCTTGAATATTTTCATCTAGTCAGAAACCAGACAAGAATCCCTCCTTAACTAACACCACTTCCAGAATCAGTAGTAGAACATAACGTGTCAAGTTTTTCATTCACAGTCTTTAATTTTTTGTCACAAATATAGAAGAGAATATGTAGAACTAGACCCTGCGATGTATCTTTATAAGGATTAGTATAACGTTTTTGTAGAACTAGACCCTGCGATGTATCTTTATAAGGATTAGTATAACGTTTTTGTAGAACTAGACCCTGCGACTTATCTTTATAAGGATTAGTGTAACGTTTTTGTAGAACTAGACCCTGCGATGTATCTTTATAAGGATTAGTATAACGTTTCTGGAATCCAGTATAGGTGCAGTAAGTTCACTTTCATTGACCGGAAAGGTAAAAAATGTAAAAATGAAAAGTGTTTTTGAAGAATATGACGGTATTCAGGTACACGATAGCACAAAACAAAATTTTAAAGAACAACATAAAACTGTTTTAAGAAAAACAACTGCAAAACTGTTCCGAAAATTTTCATAATGCATTGTCATCAATCGATTACTGATACCTAATTTTAACATCCCCCTGTTATTCAGTACAGTTTGATGCTTAATGTGGCTCCCATTTAAAGAACCCCAGATTTTTTTTTCAGTAAGTGCTTGCAACATATTTTCTTCATGGCTTAAACAGAAAAAAGACGCCAAAACCCGTAAAACTAAACATTTTCCATGAATCATTGACCAGACTTAAAATAAATTGTTTTTTGACCTCTAGACACAACCTTTTATATGTAGTGCCTAGATTTCAATCACCCGTTTAAGTGGGATTTTTAATACATATATACAAGGAATGGTAGAATACCAATCTTCTGTCGACAATAATAAAGAGTAGCAGATACTAATAAAGACTGTAGGTTCATCAACCTAAAGATGACAGGACGAAGACTGTTTGAAAGGAATACCAATTAATGGCTGGCAAGAGAGGCCTTTTTAAAGGCTAACCAGGCACATATATTCTAGTGGATTATTACGATACCGTACATCAGGATGTTTTGTATAATCTTATGACAAATAAAATGTACAAGACAACTGTTACTACAGATGATCTAGCTGCAGTCTTCCCAGCAAACTTGATACTAAGAGATTACATAAAATAGTGAAGCACAATTGTGTGTGATACATTTATGTGATATGGAGACGAAAGAGATGAAAAACGAGCAGAGAAAACAAAAATTAGAATGCATGTAAATGTAACTTATTGCTTCAATATGGCAAGCCCTTTTACTATTTATTCGTAAAATAATTTTTTCTTTCAATAAGAGAGATATCTCTTTAGCTTAGAGAGATATCTCTTTAGCTTATAGAGATATCTCTTTAACTAAAAGAGATATCTCTTTGACCAAGAGAGATATCTCTTTGACTAAGAGAGAGATCTTTATAACCTAGAGAGATATCTCTATAAACAAAAGAGATATCTGTTTTTGCAAGAGAGATATCTCTTTTACTTAGAGAGATATCTTTTTAAGCTAGAGAGATATCTCTTAAAGCGAGAGAGATATCTCTTAAAGTTAGAGAGATATCTCTTTAACAACGTTAAAAGAGATATCTTTCTAAGTTAGAGAGATATCTCTTTAGATTTTCAAAAAGGAGATATCTTTCTAAGTTAAAGAGATATCTCTCTTAATGAAAGAGATATCTCTTTTCAAGTTATCCTTAAAATGAAATAATTATTCCTCCCTTATAATACGAAAGCGAGGCTAGACACCACATGGCAGGAAGTGTAATGTTTGATGATCATATATACGGGTAGATCTCTGCCTCTGGAATAGATTCAGCATGCCCAATCCCAGAACGAAGTATGTAGAAAGAAATGCCAAATCCCTTGTTTGAAACAACAAAAGGATAATGACTACTTTAATTTTTTGTTGATAGAAATGCTAAAGTCTTTATATTTAGGAAAACGAAAGTAGGCTAGCAATAATCTCAACTGCGATAGACCGAATTTTCTCAGCTTTTGAAATAATCAGCTGTTTCTAATTTTAAATCTAGACAACACTGAATTACTTGTCATATTTATTTAAGTTATATTGTAAAAAATAGGTCAAATTTAAAGACTACTTTAATTAACATCCTCGTCAAAATCAAGTCGGAGAAATCGGGTGGGGGCCTATTCCGTTGAACAGTGAACTTTTGCTGAATATTTTTATTGGGCGTAGTTAATGTTGTTTTGTGGAAAAAAGTGGGGAGATTTGCTCCCAGCCAACCACCAGCAATTCTACAATTAGCCCCATTAGGTTCTGATACTCGTAGTTTAATGCACAGGTGCTTGGGGACAGGACCCCCCCCCCCCCCAGGCCCGTTGCAACTCTAATGGGTACTGGGTACGTCGGCCCAGTAGCTCAGTGGTTAGAACACCCGCACAGTTAGTGGGAGGTCCCGGGTTCGAATCCCAGTCTGGCCGACATTTTTCCCCGCCTGTTACATTTGGCGCCCAACAATAAAACCCATGGGTGGTTTAAAAGAGTCTCGGTGAGGTTTTCAGGATGGAAAACCTCAAGAAAAGGGGGGGAAGAGTGTAACGGGGACTGGGTCCATCGGCCCGGTAGCTCAGTGGTTAGAGCACCCGCACAGTTAGCGGAAGGTCCCGGGTTCGAGTCCCAGTCTGGCCGACATTTTTCCTCAACTGTTACACAACAATTTCAAAAGGCAAAAGGGGGGGGGGGGGGGGGGGGGTAGCAATTTTTCCAAAAAACATTGATGGCTCTCTGAATTATTTTTCATGATTTTTTAAAGCATTTTGTTGATGTATAATGCACTATAAAAATTCACAATTGATGGAATATAAGCTATACATGTATATGTATCCAGAGATATATATGTATATACAAACATTATTGAATTACTGTTCTACTTAAGTTATGAGGAGGAATGCTGTCCAGACAGTTACACTTCTGAGACATGTATTTCCTAGAGCACGGTCCCTTGAAATCTTTTGTAGTTTAGGGACTCAATTGTAATGCCATATATGGCTTCCTGGTGTAAGGGAGATAATTGAAATTATTCATCAACTCTGTTTTGCTTAGACTCAACATCTAGTATTTTTATGTTCTGTATTGCTGTATGTTCATGTATTTTTTTTGTCCTCTTGAGTGTTACAAATTATGCTTGTATCTATGTTATGCCCCCAGTGGGACCATGATTGGCAAATAAATTCTATTCTATTCTATTCTATATGTCTCTGGTATCTGATGTATCCCCCCCCCCCAAAAAAAAAAGAAATATAAATAACCTCTCTATTTATATCATTGGTATATTTTTATACATAGCTTATTAATGCATTAATTGTGAATTTTTATAGTGCATTATACATCAACATATATATATTATACATCATACATATATGCTTAAAAAAATAAATCAAAAAATAACTCGGGAAGCCCAAAATTTTAGAGGGTTGGGGTGGGTCGTGTTCCTGTTCCCTTGAAGCACCTGTGGTTTAATTATGTACATTTTGTCTCTTGTCTTTTATACAATAAGCTGAACTCTGATTGATTGCAAAGATCAATAATATGCGCTAGTTATTATCTTTCAATAAATCACACAAAAAATTAACAAATTTAAATAAATTCAGTCTAACTAAAATTAGATCTTTATTCCACTCCAACAAGATTGCTACACATTGTGATCTAGTTGGGTCTAATTTTAATTTTTTCTGCTCTCACTAAAGGAAAGGGATCAAGACATTCTTTGATTTTTATGCAAATTCTATTGTGTGAAATGGAAATAAAAATTATAATAATGGATTGCCAAGTCATAATTGCAACACTTCTTTTATGGAAATCTATAGCTTGAACTTGTTTTTTTTTTTTTAGAAGTTTGAAAATTTGCCTTAGCAGAATAGAAATACTTTCCTTGTCATCTGAAATGTAGCAGAATATAGGTAACCCTTAATCTTCAGAATTTTTATGCCCCCGCCATAAAATGGTCGGGGGGGGGGGGGGGGGGGGCATTTAGTGTTACCCTGTTCAGTCATTCTGTCATCATTGAATTTCCGTTCATTATCTCGGCAACAGTTGTACACATTCAACTCAAATTTGATATATGGATACGTCATAGGAATATGCAGGTCAAGTTTAAATTTGGTCATGGTATTGATAGTTATCCCCCTTGAACTTGGAAAAGATTTAAAAATTATCAATTTCTAATTATTATCTTGGCTACATATGTTCAACTTACAATTTGCAATTTGAAATTTTGGCTGTCTGCGGGGGCATTTGTGATGTTACCACACACATCTAGTTTGTAAAATAAAATCCTTGCCCTTTGGTCTTTGTTTTCATTTCCAGGCAAAATTAATCTATCATGGTACATGTACATTCTCAGACAATTCCTCGGAATTTTTTTTAAATATTTTTGAAATCAAATATTTCTGAAATTAAGCAAAGTTTACGGTTCAGTGCAGTCATTTAGGGTACATACCAGTAATATTCCAAATCACTTTTCATTTAATTTTATTTAAATGCAAAAGGTGTAAATAATTTTATGCCAGAAATTGGCTGTTTGGTATTGACAGAAAGCAGTTTCAGTGACTATGGCACAACTCATTGAGTATACCTTCCATAAAGTAACCATGACTGGGAGATTTTTTTTATCTCTGATATAGTGTAAAACAGGTCACTTCAAATAATTTGTGTGTTGCAGGTTGAGACATCTGAGTTGTGTCCCCTCCTTTGTCATTATGCCAGCTAGTGGAAAGCTGAGATTGATCGATGTACTCTAAGCTAACTTGGGACTGTGCTCTAGACCCGGTGTATTCCTAAGGGAATAGAGAGCCAACAGGTATTTATTCTTACTGATTGCATGACTAAATATTAATAAAATATATTAATCATATCTTAATGAATTCCATCTGTTCAACAATCTTTGATTTACCTCATTACTTAAAAAAATGTTACACAGAGGAATTGTCCATTACAGAAAGACAACTATAGTTGCAAGGGTCCAATCACTATGAATCGATTTCATTGAACATTTATATGGGAATGGGATATAACTCCGTCAACAATATTAGTTTTTTAATAATATCCTTAGCTTTCAAATTTATACAGAAGGAAGACACATGTAGTTTATGAGATCACACAAAATAAGTTTTTTTGTTTGTAGACCATTCTGCATCATCACATTTATGGTGATATGTTAAATACACATAAATGAATACATGTATAACTTTAATTCACTCTATCTTACAAATTAAAACCCTTCAATATTGTATACACTCTAAAACCCTTCAATATTGTATACAGAAGTAGATGATGAAAGGTTGACACCTACATACACTGTAAATGAACTTAAATTTTAAGAAATACCAGGTACATGTTCTAAGATTGAATTGTGTGTCTTTCAAGCTTGTTTACTTCCATTATGAATTAATAATTAAACCCTTAGTTTGGCCCTCTCTCAATTTCATATTTTTTTTAAATTTTATATTATCTATTCCTTTATTTGCTTAGCTTGACATCATTACTACATTTTGTTATATTTATTCTTGAAATAATAATTTCACAGGTGAATCACAAGAAGCAACTACCTAAACAAAGTTGAGAATCTGAGGGTGTCCTACCAAACCAATCCTGTCCTGTTTGAAGAATTCCAGGCCAAGAAAAGTGATGCACAGACTTCTACACTCTCTGCATATTTACTTGTTTTTAAATGTCTAAAATTGTTTGAAAAAAGTTTAATTACTTACTGGTACCGTGTATATGCATGTATCCACATTTCAACAATGACAAAGCAATTTATTCCCAAGTCAATAAAACAATGTATCAGTGTTTTCAATATCTTTATTTGAATTCAAGATAAAAAGGTTATTACATGTACATACCAATACTTGTTTTTTTTTTGTACTGGTAATACATGCTATGAAAAATTGTAATATCATAAAGTATAGTCACCCTGATGCTTATACTTATGTGACTTTTTTTATTTAAGAGGTCTTCCCAAGTTAAGTCAGTAAAATCTAAATCTGCAAAAATTCTATCATTAAGGATTCAAAAATACCTTCCAGTTATGGCTGGATTGTCATGGATTCTACCTGCATGTATACTATAATTGAACTATGCCTACCGGTATATAATTCAATAACTGTGAACAAACTCCAACATTATACCCCCTATACATTTTTTCTTTCTGATAATGCCAATATCACTTTTCTAAATGTGACCTTGAACTTCCCAAAATGATACTGGTTAAGAAAGAAAAGATGCATCTTCTATTCATCATAAATCTTTAAATAAAAGGGAGATATTTACTGTTTCTCCATTAAGACATTATGGACCTGACATGAGCAATTTTTTTTTGCCAATGACCTTGAACTTGCCACAATATCATGGGTAAAGGTTATGATGTACTTTCTGCTTACAAATAATCTTTGAAGTTTCCAGTTTCAATACTTATCCATGAGGGAGTAATGAAATGAAAACAAATTTCACACATTTACTGCCAGTAATCTTGACATAAGCAATCTTTGTGTCAAGTATCATTTGCAAATTATGCATTTGACAAAGGTAATACACTTTTTCTGCCAGTTACCTTAAACTTGCTTAAAAATGACCTTGATTTAAGATCAGTCATAACCGCAGGTCATGCTCAATATTTGCAATAAGTATGAGCCTCTAAATGTTCTCAATTACAATATATAGTCAAACAGGAATTCTAGACCTCACACTTCATCAAATAACCTTGGGTCAAGGCCAACACACATATATTCAATTTATGCATGGGGCACAAACTTCTAATGCTTCTTCAATAGGAAATCGGGGTTTGGGCTACAGTCAGCTTTTTCATTCAGCCCTCACTCAAAAAAGTGTAAGGTAAATATGAACAACATAAAGAAAAGAAAATGAAAGAAAAGACAAAAATTTTATATTACTTGTAGATGAATGAAAAATGAAACTTATACTTGTGCATTGGGAGCTAGAATTGGGAAAAAAAAAATCTTAAGTTATAAACTTGACTGCCGTTAAATTGAATGTATTGTGTAAAAATATTATACATGTGAAATATTCTACTACTCTCTACCACTGGCCCATACATGTCTGAGAGAGGAACAAATGACAACTCTGCATAGGAGATTGATATCCTACAAGTTTAAATAAGGTCCACAGTATCAGTAAACATAATAAAAAACTATACTAACATCACATGTAATTTTTTTTTTCTGTAGCCAGATTAATAATAGGACAACAATTTCTTCTTGGGTTGCAGTTTTGTTGAAGTGTATACAGTGAATTGTTAAATTATGGTCACTTGACATAGGTGGAGTAAAACCTCTCTTATTGATAAAACTTGGATATTTCAGAGTTCCACAGATCCATATAGGGCATTTAGGTGGGTTCAATTTCTGGTGGCCAGATAGTTAAATTGGTAGAGCAAATGACTACTGATTCAGGGGGCCCTGACTTGAATCCTGGTCAGTGAATCTTTTCACAAAAAATCTTACGATATATTTTTATCTTAAGTTAAAACTTATGATAAAAATCGTTTTCACAAAAATTCTTAAGAAAGTCGTAAGTGCAAAATCTGTCGTAACTTTACGAGAGCCCCAACCCTCTCTTAAGTATTTTAAAACCGATTTTATTGTAAAAATAAAACCGCAGAAATCAAAATACACGTTAAATTGAACTTTTAAAAGCAACTCCCAATTATATTTTATATTATTTCACAATCATTGTTGAAAAATTAAATGAAATACACTACAAAATATTTACGATGTAAGTTTCACTTAAGATTTTCATATGACCTACTTTTACGTCAGACTTGTGATTGTGACGTCAGATTTTAACTTCCTTGCTTCACAAACGATTGCATTCGATGTTTGTTGTCAATAATGTTTGTTATGCTGACAAATGTTGAAAACTAAGTTGTATTTTTATTTTTTTAAGGATTATAAAGCATATTGAAGTCGTTGCTAGGGATGAAGTCTGTCGTAAGTAAAATCTTAAGTTCAATCTGCTACGAATGCGTTCGTGGAACACACTTAAGATTTGTCGTAAGAGATTCTTAAGTTAAAATCTTACGTAAAAACTTAAGATTTTTTGTGAAAAGGGCAACTGGTCCATACACCCCATTGCTTATCTCTTTTCTGTCTATGCAAAGAACTTGACAATGCAGACTTTCCCTCAATGATAGAAGTGCTTGTCTCTGCAGACTGTACTTGTGACCTACACATACACAAGGAAAACTCTTTTAAGACTTTAAGAGAACATAGTGTCTTTTTGAATTGATCTATTTCACGTTTCAATGTTGTTAACAGCATATTTCTAAGTTATAATAAAAAAATACATAGACATGTAAAAATTAACTCACACTTTTTCAGGTAATCATATTGACTTGTTACAATCACTGGAATCTTGGACATCCTTTGCATTCAAAGACAAGTGTCACAGAAAGTGTGTTGGACATACCCTTGTTGCACTTCATATCTGAAACAATGACAGAAAAAATTTGTAGGGGATGTTTCATTAATCATTACATGTAACTGATCTTTTCAAATTAAATACAGTGGTCTGCAACTGCACTAGAAAAACATGAAATCGAAAGGCCCATGGTCACAATGATCACCTTAGTCACTATGGCCATGTTCTTCTTTATAAGCAGATCCCCCCCCCCCCCCCATCTTCTGAAGTAAAACTTGATTGTTTTGCCTGTTCTAGCTGGCTCAACCCTAGCCCCTGGAGACAAGAGGATCCCAGCTTCCTTAGAAATATTACTTATCTTTTTATTGTTCTTGAGAAGAGATTTTTAAAGATTTGTTTCCATATACATTCCATACACATGTAAAACTTTAATTGCTCATATTGACCCCACCATACCCCCCATGTCATAATTTGAACAAATTTGATTGAACATACAAAACACAACCTAATGCTTCCATGTAAATACAGTTGAACTTCAGTATCGAGAACACTGATATCTCGAATACCATGGATATGTCGAAGTCCCAATTGCTTATTGTTTAAGTAATATACCCTTGATATCTTGAATCCTCAGATATCTCAAAGTTTTTCCTTGGTCCAATCGAGTTTGAGATAATGAGATTTTACTGTATGAACAATTATGCCTTAGCTTGATTGAGAATATTCTATAAAAAATTCCTACATATTCTAAAGTAAAACTTGATCATGCAATGTTGCCCCATACTACCCTAGAGGGTCAATTAAGCTATAAATGATCGTGAATCTACACTATATCTACATCTACATAGTACAGCGTTCCATCAAACCTGATGATTATATGCTGGACATAAAGCTTGCACATAAGTTTCATCTTACCTGGCCCAGTGGTTCTTGAGAAAGATGTATATTTATCAAAATGTCATAAAATTTTCACTAATTATCTATTATCTCCTATTGAAAGAGAGCAGGACCTTTAATTTGAATATCTTTCATTTGATCCACAAATTTAGATCAGGTCCCGGGGCCATAAAACTTAGACGAGCTCACTTTTGATCTCAGTCTCACTTTGCCACGTATAATTCCTTTCGTAAAAGTGAGATTGAGATCAAAAGTGAGCTCGTCTAAGTTTTATGGCCCCGGAGCCTGAATTCAAAGCTCAGTTGAGCCTTCAGCACAGGAAAGCTAAATATGTTTCAAAATTAAGGGAACAATCATTTCATTCTAAGAAGGGGGGATAGAGGGCTATATTTCAAGTCAGCTTATTTCTTTCCATACCAGTGAAGGACAAACTAACTATTTTCAAGATGATAAATACAAAAAATTATATATATTTTTTCTCCACTTTAACATTTTAACACCCCCCCTTACACACACACACACATGGGGAGGGGGGGGGGACAAATTATTTGTTTTCAACATTTTGAGGTTCAGATTATTTATTTCCAAAATCTGCAAGTCACTTCCCCCTTTCAGAATCAAATGGTCTACTCGCTTTCCACAGGCACTTGTTTCTGTAATACTTTTTTAACCCATAGTATGATAGTATATTAATAACATAAGGTATCCAACTCGTATGCAGGTAACGATCACAGGGGGTGCTTCCGGAATGTAAACAATGTTCATAAAGAGAAAGAAATATTTGTAGATCTACTAAATTGTATCAATCATCACAATGGGTTTTAAAATATTTATATTTTTTAATTTATATTGTTTACATTTCGGGAGCAAGCCCCTGTGATACGTTTACGATGTTTCATAATCGGCTAAGTTTCCTTACTCTGAACTTCTTTCCATAAATCAGTTGATCAAGCACTTGTAGAAGGACAGCTCCCTTTTTGTGTCGTATCTTGGGGTCATTGTTACACCTGCAAGTCAATAATTTGCTCACAAACACCATAAAACACCACATGTTCTACTTTCTCGTCTCTACTTTCGTTTTGATTTAATGCATTTCCGTGAATATAAAGCTTACTTCCGGTAAAGGGAGAAGTCATTAAAAATGCTTTTTAAATAAAAATAATGTAGAGAGATATCTCTTTGCAGTAAAGAGATATCTCTTTTTGCTTGAGAGATATCTCTTTTGGACACTTTTGAAAGATATCTCTTTCACTTTGAGAGATATCTCTTAAGATAAACTTAGAGAGATATCTCTTTTACTTTGAGAGACATCTCTTTAACTTGGAAAGATATCTCTCAAAGTAAAAGCGATATCTTTCTAGGTGAAAGAGATATCTCTCTAAGTGAAAGAGATATCTCTTAAACGCTAAGAGATATCTCTCTTAACGAAAGAGATATCTCTCAAAGGAAAAGAGATATCTCTTTAAGTGGAAGAGATATCTCTCTAAGTGAAAGAGATATCTCTCTAAGTGAAAGAGATATCTCTCTTAGTGTAAGAGATATCTCTCTAAGTGAAAGAGATATCTCTTTCTTAGAGAGATATCTCTTTAAGTTGAGAGATATCTCTTTAAGTTGAGAGATATCTCTGTTTTTTAAGAGATATCTCTCTAAAATAAGAGATATCTCTGTAATTTTGAGTGAAAATTTATTTTACGAATAAATAGTTAAAGGGCTTGCCATACTTCAAGTCATAATCAATACAGAGAAAACATATTGTTATACAAAGTAGGAATATCCTATTTCTGTACATTATTTGTTTATCCGTGAAAATCTTATTTCAATTTTAATTTTTATTAAATAATTGAAAAAGGTGAAGATAAGTGTTCGATCTCGTAAATTGCACAAAAACTACGAATCATAAACAGGGTATAACCACGGACCCCTGGAAACACAAGAGGTGGGATCAGGTGCCTCGGAGGAGTAAGCATCTCCATTCGACCATGCAGTCACATTCGCAGGATTCACAGGATCGAACTCGGAATTTAAATGAAACATGTCAGTCAAAATATGACCCAAATATTTTTGATTTGATGATACATATCTCCATTTACGAGCATCATTTGATACTATTGTTATGTAGTTTGGAAGACAGGTAATCTAAATTGGACATTTTGGAAGGTTAGCTCCTTAAAATGTTATAAAACTGTATTCAAAACCAATGTATATGAGATCTATTAAAGCATTAAATGATATATTCCCTTATAATATTGTTACATTTTTTTCTTTCAAGGACGAAATGTTTCAATAAAAGTATGTAACCAACAGTGATATTAATAAAACAATATTGAAACTTGTGTAAACTAAATATACAGATCAGAACTAAGGAATAGGAACATATAATACAAAGTGAAAATACCCCATCAACCCTGCGTCTGCAGTTAGAACTGTGAAATATATCAAAATATCATTCACCAGAATGAGAAAGGCTTTAAAATAGTAAGTTAATGTACAATGATGGAGCATAATTATTAAGCGATATTTTTATTAAAAAAATAATTAAAAATCTATCAATTTCTTATATAGTTCATAATAATACAAGATAAAATTAGCAACAATTTACTGACCAGGGAAAAAATGAAAAAAAATGTAATAGAGCTCTAGTGATACTGGAAAAGAGTGCATGATTTTCCATGCCTTAATTAAGAAAGAAATCAAAAGAGATTGTTCATTCTTCTAACCATTTTCTTAAAAAAAACTTTAAAATTGACGTGGAAAAGACCCTTCATTCACGGCTTCCGTTTCTGTGGAAATTCCCATTAAGCAGCCTATGAAGGAAGCCCTGGAAAACTGCAGGGTCACTAATGCGTTTTCCCGGAAGCATGAACATTATGAAGACCAGTACTTGTTGGCATCCAGTACTTGGAATGATATTCTATCACGCACGATTACTAGAGCGAATAGCGAGCAGTAATTGAGCTTATATAACTTCTAAATGGGGTTATACATTACATGCACTATATATCAATGCCAAAGTAACGAAGAGTGATCCATCTCACAAACCTATTAACAATACAAATCAAGAACAGGCAAAAACTTGGTACTCTAGTAACACCAGAAGTGAAGGGAAAGAAATTCGACCTTACAGTAGGGTGTATTTGCAAACAAGGCCATTATGGCGACCATAGAATTTGCTTAATACTGACTATAAACGATATTGTTGAAACCCCCGCGTCATCAATTTGTTTGTTAGTGGCTTGCTTCGTTTTAACAAGTGATTGTTTGCAGAACACGCGTACTGAATCAGTTGGGAGATGAAGACACCATGTGCAGTTAAAAATGGAACATTGTTATATAGAATTTAAAATGGAATGTTGACAATGAAAAATCTTATAATTAAGTATCTTGTTTGTCACATTCTAGTAGTTTAGGTGTTAGTTTACCATTGACGTACATATTCAGTAAATCGCAAATCCAAATATGAAACAGATGTGGTGGCAGACTCCAGGGTATCTAATTCTAGTGGGAAAAACTAAGTAATCGAGAAGTTATGAAATGGCATTACAGTTTGTATGTACAGAAATTTAATTTTATACGTATTCTTTTTTTCAATCTGTAGTTTGATGAATGGTAATGCCAATATCTAAAGAATCAGTGTCTAGTTTGTTGGGTATACCAGGGCATTAACGACAGTTGAAACAAGAGGCCCAGGGGCCACATAGCTCACCTGAGCACTGTGGCGAGGAAAAAAGGAAAAATCAGTTTAGTATTGAAAAGCTTAAATGCATAAGTAGTCCCAACCTACCCCTAAAAGGGAGTGGGGGTTTCATTTGAACAAAATTAATTCTACACTAACTAAGGATGCTTACATAATTTTTTGACTAACTGTGACTTTTTTCTCTACAAGTTTAAACTTTCATTGTGGCCCCACCCTACCCCTGGAGGTCATGATTTGAACAAACTTGAATCTACACCCCCTGAGGATGCTTCCATGCGTATATGACAAAAAGTGGCTTTGCTGTTCTTGAGAAGATTTTTAAAGATTTTCCCTTTATATTCCTATGTAAGACTTTGATCGCTCATTGTGGCCCCACCCTACCCCGGGGTCATGATTTGAACAAATTTGAATCTACATCACCTGAGGATGCTTCCACATAAATATGACCAATCATAGCTTTGCTGTTCTTGAGAAGAAGATTTTTGAAGATTTTTCCTATATACACCTATGTAAAACTTTGATCGTCCATTTAAGCCCCACCCTACCCCTGGGGGTCATGATTTGAACAAACTTGAATCTACACCACCTGAGGACACTTCCATTTAAATATGACCTATCATAGCTTTGCTGTTCCTGAGGAGAAGATTTTTGAAGATTTTTCCTACATATTTCTATGTAAACTTTGATCGTCCATTGTAGCCCCACCCTACCCCCGGGGGTCATGATTTGAACAAATTTGAATCTACTCCACCTGAGGATGCTACCAAATAAATATGACCAATCATAGCTTTATTGTTCTTGAGAAGAAGATTTTTGAAGATTTTTCCTATATACTCTATGAAAACTTTGATCATCCATTGTGGCCCCACACTACCCCCGGGGGTCATGATTTGAACACCTGCAGATTCTTCCATATAAATTTGACTAATCATAGCTTTGCTGTTCTTGAGAAGAAGATTTTTGAAGATTTTTCCTCTATATTCCTATGTAAAACTTTGATCGTCAATTGTGGCCCCACCCTGCCCCCGGGGGTCATGATTTGAACAAATTTGAATCTACACTACCTGACAATAATTCCACATGAATTTCGTCTTTCCTGGCCCATTGGTTCTTGAGAAGAAAATTTTTCAATGATGCCATTAATTTTTTGCTATTTCGTAATTATCTCCCCTTCATTTGAACAAACTTGAATCCCCTTCACTCAAGGATACTTTGTGCCAAGTTTGATTTAAAATTGGCCCAGTAGTTCTGGAGAAGAAGATGAAAATGTGAAAAGTTTACGACAACGACGCCAACGACAACGACAACAACAACAACAACAACGACGACAGACAACGGACAAATTTCGATCAGAAAAGCTCACTTGAGCCTTCGGCTCAGGTGAGCTAAAAATGGGATGCCCGAAAAACTTACATACATTGTAGGTACTTGACCTTCACTTGGTGAAATTGAGATTCAGTTGTAAATATCGAGAAAAACACGCTTATGTTTGAAAGAAATATCAAAAGTGAAAACAGCTGGAAATGTAAATATTATAAAAAAAGAATAATCTATCAAAGTATTTCAAATTAATATAGCTAGTTTTCCTAATACAAATTATTTGAATAAAACCTGACATGACACATGACTACAAATAGATACACGATTTTGGGGCATAATCTCCCACTAGGCACCTAATACAACCTCTGGAATTTTCGTATTTTATGCCCTGCTCACAAATTTCTCATGGTTTTTTTTGAAATCGATCATTGTTTTTTTGTTTGTTTTTTTTTTATCTTCATCTTTTTCATTTTGATATTTACGATACTGTTACTTTATTACTAAACACAGAAAAGTCAGTCAAAATGATTGTGGAATACTACTTTTACAATTTATGTGTAATTTAAACGATCACGGTAGCATGGAGGCAATATCGGAATTAAACATGATTCCGTTTATCGAATTTAATTGTGATAAAAAGTCGCTGTTCCTTATTTCAGAATTCTTAATACATTTGTACCGAAACTATTTGTTTGAAACGAATAAATGATAAGACTTACAAGTACAGACAGTTCCCAAAGAAAAAATATTTTAAGCATCCATTACTTTCAGATAGAGAGATCCACTTGTAATTAAACTTCACTATAACAATAGAAAATAATTTATCAACCTTTGTAAAACGTTGTTCTATGAACGTAAGTTATAGGTTGTTAAGATTGATAAAATATGTGAATTAACTGATTAATTATTTATAACATTTGGAAAAAAATGAAAGAAAGAAAAAAGAAAAAAAATAAGAATGTCGTAGACCCGGCAGAGAACCAAGCAG